ATTCAAAATTCACCTGCTACTGTAGTACGTTGGCAGCTGCCATCTCCGGGCTGGGTTAAACTAAACGTGGATGGATCCTACATCCCGGGACAAAGCAGTGGCGGTGCAGGCATGGTCTTACGAGATGAATCTGGAGGTATCATTTTTTCGTCTTGCCGCTTTCTTCGATCTTGCTCGTCCGCGCTGGAGGCGGAACTAGCGGCATGCATGGAAGGTGTGAACCTCGCATTGGACTGGACGGACAAGCCGGTGATCATCGAGTCAGACAGTCTGCAAGCTGTCCATTTCCTTCAGGATGATGGGCCTAATCGATCCTCAATGGCAACGTTGGTGGGGGAGACGAAGCGTCGTCTGCATGAAGGACATGGGCATCGCATAGTTCTTGTTCAAAGAGGAGCAAATGGTACAGCTCACTATATGGCTCAGTATGGCCGCACTTCTGAACGAACTGCTATATGGCTGAGCAATGGCCCTGAGGATCTGTGTAACCTCTGTCAAAACGAGTGTATCTCTTTGATTTGATCAATATAATCTCGTTTGACCCGCAAAAAAAAATTCAAAATTCATGCGTGGATTTTTTGAGAGAAATAGTAGGACTCTATTGTGTATTTTTATTAAAATTTAATAAATAAATCATTGTTCGATACAAAAAAACATGAAAATAAGAAGTACACCCTTTGTAAAGAAATATGAGAGTTTTTAGACGAATACCCATTTCGAAGCCCAGACTCATCTGGACTCGGTCAAGATATTTTTTACAAAAAATACAAGAAGTTCCATTTTTGTTTCGCATGGTAGATAATTTGGTGTGTGATCTGCGCTTCAGATTTTAGATAATTTGGACATATGAACAGCTCTCAGAAAAAAAAGACAAATCGGGTCAGACTAGTACATGAACAGTAAACTCTTTACATACCTCAAATTTGTCTTTTTTACCGAGAGCTACTCAGATGTCCAAATAATCTAAAATTTGAAGCGCACTTCACACACCAAATTATCTACCATGCAAAAAAAATTGATTTTTTTTAATTTTTTCTAGTATTACTTTAGAATTTTTTCTTCATCAGGGGTGCAAATGAGTCTGGGCACCGAATCAATGTTTCTGTGGTTAGATCACTACATTAATGATCTAAGTGCTTTTATATTTCTTTATGAAGGGGGTATAATATAATGCTCGACAACAAGAGAGAAAGCTCTGTCTGAAAGCTATGACCCAAGCTGGGAAGTTGTTGTATTCCTGTCTCTTAGCTCTGGAACCACTGAAGCTCCTATTTAAAAAGGTTCCTGCAAGTGTAAAGATTGGGAGGAATGCCTTTAAATATAAAATCATTCTTGGTAATCCAGATGGGCCAGCCAACAAGGATGATAATCTCAAAAGAGAAAGGGACATGTAACAATTGTTGGAGGTTATCAGTGTGCATCTCTTTTTGTCTGTTTGGGTCGGCCCGGCGAACACCCATGTCCGTTTTCGTATTTGGGTCGGCGTATGCGCCCAACACTGACCCAACATAATTCTTAGTTCGCGCTAAGAAAATAGAACACAAATATTTCAAAAATAGAAAAAGATTAATTAAACATTAATGCCGGCCACAAAGGCCAGCGAGAGTCCATGCGTCCACATTACATTAACTAAAACATTAATTAAAACTAAACTACAAGGTGGCGTGCTGCCCTAGTCCTCCTCGTCGACGTCGGGGCCGGTGAAGTCGATCAGCGTCGGCGCTGGGCCGGCCCATGGGAACGTCATATTCCAAAACATGGCGATGTCGGCCGCTGGGGGTTGTGCCGCCGCCGGCTGGGCACGTCGCGCTCCAGCCGCTCGAGGTACTCGCCCTCGCGGCGCTCCTCGACCAGCCTTCGCTGGCTCCTAGGTAGACTGGTGGCGGAGGGATGCCTGGGATCCTCACCGACGATGAGAAGTGAACATCGGGATACACCCCGTCTTCCTGACTTCAGTTATCTATAACCCTTCCCCGCATTGTACATATTCACCCCCTTTGTCCATCTCGATCCTTACAAACATTCCAGCTCCATGCCTCATCCACCACCCACCCACATTTGGGCACCAGAAATATAGGTAAGTGACAGCTTCGGTGCATAACACCGGTCCCTCAGCCGGAACAGCTCCAAGAATGATGCCCCCAACAGGGTACCAAGACACAAGTGATGCCATCGTATGGTCCCGAGGGTTTCTATAGTTAGGGTTTCCTGTGGAGCAATAGGGTTGGGAGAAGATAACCACATTAATGATGCCTTCATTAAGGCAACGTCGCTTGAGGCGCCATTGTCATCAGCTCGTACTGCTTCCGAGCTTTGCTTTCGTCGTTCGTCTCGCCTCCCAAGCCCGTATGCCAGCTAGTTCACCCGAACCACCATACATGCTACCCTCCTCGCTGTAGAGAGGGCCATGCTAGGATCGTAGGCCGAGGGCTCCGCGCCCGCTAGATCTGGAACTCCGGATGAAGGGCAATGTGCAACCTAGCGTGACCGCTAGTCGGGCAGCCACTGGGAGGGACGTCATGGCTGTGATGCCGCCATGCCGAGCAACTGGAGCAGGCGCTTGTCACCAGAAGACGCCGCCTAGGCCAAGCCAAGGACCTTGTGCCCGACAAATCTGAAATCAAGGGCGGAGCAGTGTCTTGGCGAGGTCACCAGTCTGGCTAGGACTGGAAGGTCGTCGATGCCCGGGGTGCCGTCATGCCAAGAAACCTAAGCAAGGGTGCACGACCAGTCGGAATCAGGATCAGACACCACGGAGAGCAGCAAGGACACCTAGATCGGACGTCACCAGGAGTAGCAGGGATGCCGTGACAGGACGCAACAACCCACGCGCCTCAGCGTGTCTGGGAACCGCAACTATCAGGGAGAGCTCCGGCGTTGGGTACCGCCGCTACAACAGCCAAGAACCACCAAGGAAAAGGCGCGACGCACAATGAGAGCTATCCTTGGCCCCACCGTTCATGACATGAGTTTAGCCCAACATCCTCCGACGCCGGCTAGGAAATCTGAATGAGAGGAGGGGCGGCTAGGTTTTTTCGTGTCACCCGTGAGATCGCCATGATATTTCATTCCATCTTATTGTGAGGCCAAACACAAGATGTATGTTTGGGTGGAATTGTGTTGCTGACAAAGGGCCCCACTCCATGGACCTACCTTTCCTCACTTCCCTCTCACATTGCTGTATTGCAACTTCGTCTGGTCGGTAGGCATAGGCCGACGGATAATCCCGGATAAGCCGCAAGCAACACCAATGGCGCCGCCGCTCTTGCTCCTCCTGCTGCTGCCGCTCCTCGCCGTGGCTGCCGAGGCCGTCCCTCCCACGCCGACGCCGCGGTCCAACCCCGCGGCAGCAGCAGGCGGCGGTGCTCCCCCGGTGCCGACGCCGACGCCGTGGCCGGAGCAGTTCCACGCGGTGATGTTCACGAACCTGACCGAGAGCGGCGGCCGGCTGCAGCTCATCGACCTCTACTACGACTGGCCCCGCGGCCGCAACCTGAACCTCATCCGCAACCAGCTCTCCGGCGACCCGACCTACGACGTGGAGTGGACCAACGGCACCTCCTACATCTTCGACTCCGCCTCCTGCCGCACCATACGCTTCCCCGTCGGCGTCCTGCCCCCGTACTGGCTCCACGGCGCCGTCTACCTCGGCCGCGAGACCACCGACGGCTTCGACTGCCACCTCTGGACCAAGGTCGATTTCGTGTGGTACTACGAGGACGTCCTCACCCACCGCCCCGTCCGCTGGAACTTCTTCAATGGTACGCCCCCCCACAGATCCATCCATCCATCCATCCATCCTTGATGCGGCGTTGCGATTTCGCAACTGATTTATTGAATCTTGTGCAACCGTGACAAAATGGTGAATTCTTTCTGTTTCATGGCGAGAGAACGCGACGATGATACGTTTTGCTCCACGAAATTCAGTCCATATCTGAAATGGATTCAGTCTGAACTCCAAAATAATTCCCTAGTTTCTTGATGTGGCAGCACAGTGCACGCTTTGTTTATTTGGTTTCAGTTGGGTCAAGAACCCAAGAATCTGGTTGCTTCTCCATGGGGAATCGACCGTCAAATTTCGATGTTCTGAACAACCTCTTCAACTCCTGTTGAGCAATTCAATTTCAGTTCCTTGATGCTGTGCTACTCCTTTCCTTTCCCAGGGATGCAGCAGCATGTGATGAGCTTCGAGGTGGGCGGGGTGCTAGAGGACTCCCACTGGCAGGCACCCTCGCACTGCTTCGCTGACGATGCCGCCGCCACCGCCACCGGAGCCGATGCGACGAGCAGCCTCCTCAGGCTCGCACGGACGACCGCAGCGGCTGTAACATCTTCTGCGGCTTAAAAAGTAGAGTTGGATTCCCACTGGTGGTCTTTCCATTTCATTATGCTACTCTTGTGTTGCGTAACAAATCAAGCGTGGAGAGCCTCCGTTTTGAACTTCTGTTTGTCTAGCCATGAACATCTGTTTTACTCTTGTGTTGCGTAACAAATCAAGCAGATGTTGAGGAAATTATATTACACGTGATAGTTTCTGGTTTGTTCAAAAGCAGAGGTGCTTACACAGTTACACCTACTCCCTTCCTTCGGAATTACTTGTCGCTGTTATGGATGTATCTAGATGTATTTTAGTTCTAGATATATCCATTTCTACGACGAATAGTTTGAAACGGAGGAAGTACGTACATACATAGTCACCTTACCCTACATACATAAATATATAGTACAGTTTTTGTCGATCGGCAACGGGAGGTTGGCAAAGCTATCAGTCTTTGAGCGAAGCAAATGATGTGTGTACATGTGTGCAGTACCCGCGAAAGCAAATGTAATACGGTACAGTACTATTTTTTGCCTGTCCTGTTCAGATTTTTTTTTGAAATGCCTGTTCTGAACCCGATTTTTAAAATTAATAATAAATAATAATTCTGTAATTCCCAAACTAGTAACGATGAGTTGGAATTTTGAAAAATAGGAAGGACACAATGATTAGTAGCATCCAGGCCTGGTCGCTGTTGCGAACCACGTCCACACCTGGACGCTATTGTTAGCAGCGTCCCGTGTTTGGTTGAACCTGGCCTCCGTCCGACCTAAGGGCAACTCCGACAAGACGATCCAAACCGACGTGGATTTTCTCCATTCTTTCTTCATTTGGATTGGTTAGGCGGACGCCGGTGTTCGTTTTTGTCCTGATTCGTAGGTGTGTCCAACACGGACGAAAGCATTTCAAATTTGCACTGGATTTTGGAAACTTAAAAAATAGAACAGCCAGCAGAAGTCCTATTTATATTAATTAAATCTAAAAAAGTTAAATAAAAACTATAAAATCTATCACCGACGGGCAGTATATATAGGCGGCGGTGGCGTTGTCCTCCTTCTTTGTCAGGTCGACATAGACTGGCGCCACCATGCACGGGAACACCTGCTGGAAGGCTTCCAGCTGCTGCTCCGCCTGCTGCTCGGCCTCTTTGTCAATTGCACCCATCTACACGGATGCAGGGACGAAGCTAGAAAAAAAAGTTTAATGGGATCTTTTCTATGACAGTGGGATCATGTTGTATAGATATATAGTGATTACTACTTAGTTAGTGAAGGTTTTGCTAATTTCATTGGGGTCAATTGACCCCAGTGCTAATAAGGTAGCTCCGTCCCTGCACGGAGGTGCATGACACATACGTCGGCAATGTGCTCCTACACGGATGTACTTTTGGGATCTCTGTCAGCTGCGCATGGACTGAGCCCGGCACCAACCCGTGTGGTAGGTTCACATTGGGATATGACGCTCGCCCGCCATGCTCCCAAAAGTACTGGCAGCGGAGCACCGACATGTAGAAGAGAAAGCTTGGCCGCTGACTCAAGGTTGATTTATCTTTTCTCATAAACTAGCGAATTACCAACTATATTATTAAAGAGTAACAACCAAGCCACATATACATTGTACGCTTGCAACCATTGAATAAATTGTTCAGAATATCAAACAAAGAAGATTCAACGAGGTTGTGGAACAACTCACATGCACCATCCATAGGTCGAGGGGATGGTCCTAATGATGAGCGATTGATCCTAATGAGGAGCAGTCGGTGAGATGATCTTGCTCTTGTGATGATTAATGATGTCCACGCTCGAGCTTGCTTACAACCCTGCGAGGTAAGGAGCGACTGCCACATGCGTATTAGGTTTAATAAGTCATGAAACCTCTATCTATACGAGGAAAACAACTCGGTTAAGCTTAGACAAAGCACCAATCCAACAACATGATTGGACGCCGTCCATACTGGCATCCACACCTGGACGCTGTTAGCAACAGAGTCCACCCTGGACGCTGTTATTTCTGGCGTGCTTTCTATTTCTACAATTTCCATCGGCCCTTTACCAGTTTCGGAATTACAGAATTATCATTTACTATTAATAAAAAACTGGTAGAGTTTGCCTTTGCAAAAATAATAAAAAACAAAAGGCAAGTCATGGGCCATGGGCTCTCGAACCATCAGAACGAAATGGGCCAGCGACACATCTTGCGTGCTGGTTCGCGTCCACTGCCATTCGCCCGGGTAAATAGCTCCCATGCGACGTCGTTGGTGTGAATTGTCTCTCATGCGACGTCGTTGGTTGTAATAGCTCTCATGCGACATCTGCGTTGGAAAAAATAGCTCCCATGTGACACACCATTTGCGCGGCTAGTTGGCTATTAGTTAGGCTGAGGTTTGGTTAGGACACAGGGGGTTATGTGCTCTGACTGGTGGGGTCCACCTATGGCCACGTAGTCAAGAGTCAACCGTCCACGACTCGACCGGTGACTGTGTGACCGTGCTTGACTCGCCTGTGCTGGACTGGGCGAGCGGCGCCGCCGTAAGCATCTTCTCCGGCAGCGGTTTCTTCTCCGCGGTGGTGGAGCGCATTTCTCGGCAGCGGCAGAGCTATTGCGAGGTGAGCCCGAAACCCTAGTCCCACTCCCAGAATTTTGGGGGATCTGTGGCCTCATGCTGCCCTCTGTTTCTTGGCGATTTACAATCGGGCTCCATTGGATCCGGGGGTTGTTTCTTCTCTGTGGCCCGGTGGTGGAGCACCTTTCTATGCAGCGGCTATTGCGAGTGAGTATTTTCCAAACACTACTCCCATTCCACTGAATTTTGGATAAATCTGTGGCCTCATGTTGCCCCTGTTTTTTGGCGTTTTAGAATCTCGATTGGATAGGAGATGGAGCGAGGGCTGGATGAGATGGAGCGAGGAGACAGTGCTTCAAATCGGTAATGCCACCCTCTTTTCTTGGCGATTTAGAATCGAACTCGATTTGGTAGTGACTGCCGCCGCTGCCTGCCATTGACAAAACAGGGGAGGTTCAGGTTCTGCCACCACATTCGCAATTATAGTGGAATTTTTTCCCTGTAAAGCCAAGCTCAGTGATGGCAGTGTCCAAGACATTGATAGAGATACCACCGTGAGGTTGGATGTCGAATTTGCAGATGTTGATCCCTAGGAATTGGAGAGCATGAAGGAGAAGGCTGTGGGCAATTTGGTGGAGAGAATTGGGGAGAGTATTGTTTGGGGTCCAGAACAAGAGGTATCTCTGCAACGTTTCGATAACTATAATAGTGAATATGTGAGAATTGAAGATGGAGAATCCATGGTTGCTGAAATTGATCAGCAAGAAGGGTGGGCAAGCAAACAAGTAACATTTTATGCAGAGCTAATTGATCTGCAAACTCATTCCAGAGTTGGTTATGTGCCATCAAAGATGGCTGCACAGATGGAAGATGATGAGTGGGTTTCACAAAAGAAGATGTTGGCATTGTTGACTGAACCGACTGTAGTAGCTGAAGATACAGGGATTGATGCAGATGGAGAGGAGGGAACCCATGGTGCTAGGAAGATTGTTGTTTACTGGAATGTAGTAGAGTTGAATGAAAAAACAGATTTGATCATTACACCAATATCTGACATTGATATGGCCGAAATGTTTGGCATTCAAGTTGATGACAAAGATAAGGAGAAGGATGACAGTTCTTTGCCTGCTGAAGGTAACACAGGCCCTAGAAATGCAAATGAGGATGAAGAACAACTGATGAGAGAGGTTGCAGATGATGTGGATGATGCAGATGATAATGAGCTAGTTTGTTTGTATGACAAAGAGAACCCAGTTATTGAGGTGGGAAAGTTGTGGCCAAGCATGAAGGAGTTTAGGATGTCTTTCAGGACCTATGTAGTGAAAAAAGAGTTTGATGCCAAGACTATGTGGACTGATCAAAAGAAATTTTATGCTCGGTGCAAAGGTTATGATGGTGGTGGCAATCCTTGCAAATGGTACTTGTCTGCCAGTCTACAACCTAATGGAAGTACAGTAAGGGTAAATCAAATACCACACCAGCATACATGTATGACCACTTCACAAAGAGTTTCAAAGAGACATCACAACTTTGGGTTACAGAGAAGATTACTCCTATTTTAGCCAAGACTCCAAACACTACTGCAAAGAGGCTTAAAGTTGACTTGGAGAAGCTGTACCCCATCCAGCTGCAATATACCACAGTGTGGAAAGCAAAACAAAGGGCCATGAAATCATTGTATGGTGACTGGGCAAATACATTTAGGATGTTGTATGGTTTTAAAGCAGAGGTGGAGAAGAGGTCACTTGGGAGTGTGGTGGAGATAGATACGGAGGTAACAGAGGATGGCAAGGTTTTATTCAGCAAGTTTTTTATATGTTTGAAGCCTTGCATAGATGGATTCAAAGCAGGTTGTCGTCCATATTTGAGTATAGACTCATCTTTTTTGACTGGAAAGTGGAATGGTCAGTTGGCTGCATGCAATGCTCTAGATGGACACAACTGGATGTTCCCAATTGCAATAGGAATGTTTCAATCAGAGACAGAGGCATCATGGATATGGTTCATGATGCAACTGAAAAGATGCATAGGGCCAGTTTCTCCTTTGGCCATCCACACAGATGCATGTAAAGGGTTGGAAAATGCAGTAAAAAATGTTTCCCCCCATGCTGAGCAGAGGGAGTGCTTTGGACATATGTGGATGAATCTGATAAAAAAATTCAGAGGAGATGAATTTGGGCGCATGTGGCCAGCAGCAAGATCGTACACCAGACAGACACATTCCTATCACCTTGGTAAGATATTGGCGTCATGTAGTGATAATGAATTTGCTTCATGGTTGAACATCCACCATTCTCTGTTGTGGTATAGATCAGGTTTTAATACTGCCATAAAATGTGATCATATCAATAACAACTTGGCAGAAAGTTTTAACAACAAAGTGAAGGATTTGAAAGACTTGCCTGTGCATGACATGGTGGACCAAATAAGGATCATGATCATGCGTTTGTGGGAGTTGAGAGGA